GTCACGCCACTTCCAAGACTGCCCCAACCGGCCGCAATGGCGTCGGCTGTACCGACAACATACATACGTACATACATATATACATATATATTATTATTAGTTATATTGTATTGATATGTATATATTGTTTATATTAGAGCAACATATATATGTATATATATATATATACATAATAATAATAGTAATAATAATAGTAATAATAATATGATGCGGTTGGCATTGCTAATCTGTGGAACTCAAAGTGGCTGGGAGACCGATGTGTTGGGGGGCGTATGGAAACCAGAAACATTGGGACCTCTGATGGGGCACAAAACCTTTTCTTGGTGGTTTGCTAGCTGCATTGGCTTCAGTGCGACGTCAGTATTTCGGCCTCTCGAATTTCAAAAGCATTGTTTTTTTATTCAGTGGAGCTCCAAAGTGCTGCATGGCTGCACTGTTTCAGAATCTGGCAACCCAAAACATTGGGACGGAAGAAGACCTGTACTGAAAGCCAGTGATGTCATGCTTTCAGCAATGGAAACTGAAGATGTCTCATCCTGTGCTGTGAAGATCAGTCGTTTCGGAGTCCCACATCATAATCTCGTCCAAGTGGAACAAGGTGCATCCCGAAACCAAAGCATGAAGCCCGCACCCTCCAGATTCCGCCAAAAGATGCCAGAAGAAGCAAGAGAGTAGGCCACAGTAGAACCGGGGTAGGTACCATGTATGCGTACACGTACACGCAGACAGACAGAAAGAAAGAAAGAAAGACAAACAGACAGACACACAGACACACACACACAGATATATATATATATGTATGTGTATATATATATGTGTGTGTGTGTGCACATACATACAAATATAAATACAAATCTTGATATAAATAAGTATATATATATAATCATATATATATATACAAATACACATACACGTACATCAGCATAGGGAGTGCACTTTCCTGTCTCACGCAGAGACTCTGAAGAAAAGTATTCGTGTACGTTTGGCCTCTGGCCCACTCTTTGCTGGGCTGGCCACGGCTGGCCTGATGAGCCTCCTCTTCAGCGTGTGCTGCTCGCTCAAAAGCCTGGTTTGGCACACTTGGAGTGAGACGGGCGATGCTCTATCATGTCGGGGGTTTTCAAATGCTGTCCTCATTCGTGTCCCGCTGTCACTACTCAGCATCTGAATTTTCTGAAGCTCCCATGCCATCTGCACTTGGTACGCCTGCGCGTTCTCGACCTTCAACGACTCGTTGGATGCTCGGACCTCAGTTGAAAGCGCTCAAAAGGAGCGCCACGTTCGGTCCCTGAGCCGAGCTCCTGGCGATCTGCACCTCTTTGTACAGGCCAGCCACCCTCAGCGACACTGACATGAGTCACATGATGCCAACTGCAGCAGTTTTCGAACACGACAGCCCTCAGCAAGGCGCTGGTCCTTGAGTCTCTCAATCCGCACCTGAAAAAGCATCTTGGACGACGAAGTCCACTCACGTCAACCATGCTAGATTGCTAAAAGTGAACTTGGGGGGGCGCCTCATTGGACGAATCGCGATCGAGCATTGCCGCCTCAGCAGTGAATGGCTTTACTGCCTATGGCACATGGCCTTACTGCTGCCATGAGCAGCTGCAATGTGTCCTCGAGTTTTTCATCTGCGCTGGCTGCGACAAGCATGCGAGCTTTCGTGCTCATTCGTGCTCTTTTCGCACATCATGCTGAACTGCTCGCTGGCCACAGGAGCAGGGCAGATGCACTGGCCTCTACAACATCTTGCCCCGAATGGCACGAGCACGCCGACGGCAGAATGTCATCATCGGAGACTTGACCTAAATCTAAAATCTAAAGAACTGTCTAGTACGAGTACATTGGCTCCAATGCTGTCACATTTTCTTATTTTTTCGGCTGCCGCCTGGATATGGCTGCCTCGCCAGATTTGCCTCGATGTTGCGACCGTGCGTTTCTGCTGCCTGAGCATTGGATGACAGCGAAAAGGACTTCTGAGAACCGAAGAAGAGGTCCTTGGAGGCCGGCATTCAGCGATTCAGCGTTGGCTTGAAGCACCACAACAGCGACTGTTTCGGCCTGAGTCCAAGACAGCAGGCAGGTGCCTGAAACTGAAGCAAGAACTGAACAACAGGCTGCCGGCAAATCTTGCCCGACTCTCAGAGCTTTCAGGCGAAGGATGCAGCCTGTGAGCTCCAGATGCGAGGCGAAACGAAGTTGAGCTCAAGGAGTCGAGTGCATTGAAAGGCTCCTGGGCATCTCCTGTCTCCCAGCCACGGCCGGACTTGAAGTTCTTGACCTGGTCTTGCATGGGCATCCGCAGTCGGGAGTTCAACTGCCGGAACTCTTCAGGCGCCTCCAGAGGTCCTGCGGCTTTGACGGCCGGACTTTGGAGCAGAGCAGTGCGCCGCAGAAACTGGCAAAGGTCTTGGAAAACTGAGGAGGGGCGGGCCGGCAAGCAGTGCATCACATTACATCTCTACGCGAAATAGTAGCACTGACCATGCAACAGCATTGGCCCTCGGTCTGTGAGACTGTGAGAGGAGGATAAGCAATTCTGCCAGTACTCTCGGCCTGAATGCCCAATCAGTCTTCTGTGCGCATTCAAACTCGGTACTCAAATCCGGCAAAGGCGCTAAGGCTGTCTTCGTCTTTGGGTTAATGATACGACTGCGAAAAGGTTGCGACAGCAAACGGAGTCTCAGGCTAGGTGGACGCGAGAGGCATCGGCTCCTTTTCCTTCGGCCTGTGGCGGTGATGTCTGTGGCGTGTTGCCGACTAGGATCAGATTGACAGTGCACGTCTAGATTCTGATCTCGTTGGTCTGTTCGGATGACGATGAGGGCATCCAGAATCGCTAGCGGGAGCCAGTGTTGGCTTTACTACCCACTGAGATGAGACGGCACGCCAGCTGCCATCATACGCCTTGTCAAGCACAAAGCATACGGCATATGGCCATATTGGTGGTGAGACTTTTGCCCATCTCCAAAAGTCAGAGTCAAGTCAATTTGCTGTTCGTTGTTGTTCAGCCATGAACTTTCCTCTTGGTGCCCCTCTGCGGGAGATCTGCCCGAAGGGCTTCGAGCGCCTGGCTACGCTTCTCCTTGGAGGAGCACTTGGCACTTGAGAAGACGTTCGGGTCGAGATACAGGAAAAGTCCACCGCCCTTGGCTGGAACAAGAAGGCTGGGTCCTGCATCAGAAACAACACTTTCTGCTGGGCCCGAACCGAAGTCCAAAAGAGGACGTTTAGATGAGTTGTTGACTGCCAGCTTCATGTCAACAGTCTTGTTGTGGATTTCCTGCATGAGGGTGTGTTCCATCTTTTTCTCACAGGCACCATTCAGTAGTTGCCAGCGTGCCTTCTGTGCCTCTAGTGAGCCTTCATGTTTGGAGAGGCACTCATGCAACTGACTGGCAAGTTCCGGGAGCGTCCGAAGCTTCAGGTCCGATATGAGGACGCTTGTGAAAGTCAGGCCACCGCCCATTAGTTGGTTTGCTGGAAGCCCCAGCGCCTTTCTCACGTCCAGCAAGAACATCATCTGAACCACGCCTTTTGCATCTGCAGGAAGAATGTGCTTGCCCAAAGTCATCAAAAGGTATGCGCAGAATGCCTCCTGCGTCGTGACCCACTTGTCCTGACCCGGCTGTACTTCGGTCGGCGTGGCCTCATCCTTGATAACTGCCAGCTCCTCCTCCGAGAAATAAACTCGGTGCCTGTTCAAGCCCAGTCTGGTGTGCAGAAAGAGGGTGTCGACGACAGGCGCAAGCACTGGCACCAGAATCCCAACCAGGCCCATGAACCAAGAGTTGGTCAGCTGCTTGCCGATCTCTTTCTGGGCGAGTTCCTGCGTTCTGCTTTCATCAGGGATAAGCTCCTCCATTTTCTCCCTACTCGTGCATGGTGCTGTTGCTGTATCTCCCCGTGCAAGGCTTGCCCAAAAGGACAGAAACGTCCAGGCGGAACTTCCGTCCAACAGCATGTGTGAGCGACAGAAAGCCAATATTCCGCTTCCATCCTGGAAAAGGGTCAGCTTCACGGTCATCAACGGTTCACGACCGGCCCGAACCGCTGGGGGTCGGCAGTAAATTGCGAAGTCTGGGAGCCTGAACTCTTCGACAAAGTCTGGGGCAACCTTTTCTGAGCTTTGAACAATGGAGAAAGGAACACCTTCACCATTCAAAACTACCTCGTATCCGTCTTCAGTGCTGCGAAGTCTTCCGGCCATCATGGGAACAGCCGTCAAAGCCTTTCCCAAGGATCTCTTCAATTTTGACACGTCCACGCTTGAGTAGCGCATTGCAATGGCTGGATAAGTCGCGAAAGGCAATGGCATCATGCCAAACATGCGATCTCCAGCCCGCAGCTTCACTATCTCGGGCTCTTCTGTACATGCTGCAGCCTGACCATCGGGCCGGATGATCTCAACTTTCTGTTCGAGGACATCGAGTGGGCCACGTAGCCCTTGAGAACATCCATGCAATACATTCCAGGCCATGGCTAAAAGCTTTCGAGCTTTCCGAACGTGGACTCTTTGTGCCAAATACTGTTGAGGGACACAGCCTCCACATCGCGCTGCAAAGGAGATCTTGGACACCCTGCAGCATAAGACACGTGAGCTCGGAGTTATGCGCCTCGGAGGAAATGCCGGTTGCATTTGCGCGCGACTCCTGGAGATGAGCAGCAAATGTTGACGACACTGTTGACGACGGGGCTGGGTCCGGGCATGTCCGGGCTGGGTCGAAAAAAACTCAAACCTTGGCCGCTGCAAGTCAATCAAAGTCGGGCAATCGCACAAGCGATGGATTGAACTGTAAGGAATGTCCTTTACGGGTGGCTGTCTCTCTGTGTGTGTGTGTCTCAAGTTCACGAACCAAATCGAGATTGCCCCACCTTCACCTAAGAGCTTCAGGCAATGTGCAGGCGGTGCCTTCAGCAGGCTGAGCCAATCGAACCATGAAAAGCCGTCGTCGGCATCCTGCTCCTTTCGTTTGGCCGACGCATGCAAGCCGGCTCTCATGATGCAAAGCCTTTGCTGTCCGAATGCGGCTACCCGGCTGCCACTATCACGTGAGCCTCTTCCTTCGGTGTAATTGCCTTCGGAGTGCTGGTGGTCGTTCGAGTGCCCTGGTAGCTACACCATCCCGCAAGCAGCGAGGCAAAACTCCACGCCTGTGTTGTATTGGCAGACTTGACCGAATGCTCCGAATGGCCAATCTTCAGAGCTGCCTGGAGCGAGTGGCTTGCCATGAGCTCACGGGGGGAGCTAAACGACTCGGAAAGAAGGCGACTCCTTTTGCGCCGAGGACGCCTGCGGTTGGCCGAGGGCCTGGGCCCTGGGCCGTGCCGGCTAGTGGAGCGCTGCCGGTCCAAGCCCTGTGTCACCATCCTTGAGATGATTTTCATACTGTACACTTGTTGCAGGATCGACGTACCGCGAATCTGCAAACTCTGCAGGGGCCAGTTTAGTGTAGCATGAACAGCTGCCAGGAAAGAACCGCAACCCTTCGCTGATTCTCGGCCATCACCTGGTGGTTGTCGAACTGGCGTTTTGCCAGAATGTTAATCTACAAGGACATGTTGCACCGCAAGACAATTGACAATATCAAATCAAATGAAGCCGAAAGCTTGCAGAGATGAGAAAACCCGTCTGACAAAACCCTGCCTTTTGACGGCTGGCTTTACTTGAAGTGAGCAAAGTCTAAAGACAAAGGAATGCTCCTTACATCATTCTTCTGGGATCCAAGGAACTCAAAACCTGAAACCCTTTCGGCGACCTTGGGACGCCCGTGCAATTAAAACGAATTGACTTTGAAGCGCGCTGCTTCTTCGGTAAACACGATTAAACCAGGATCACGCACCCCGCTCCTCCGACCGAGGAATCGGACTTCAGCCGACTTCGAGGAGGCGTGTTGACCCTATGCTCTACGCAAGATCCGCAGTCCTTTCAGACACACGCTTCCCTCCTTCACTGTGATAGCTGTTTAGCGATGACATGGCCTGCAAGAGGGTTTGGTATAGCAGCAGATAACTCGGCTATCGCACATCTGGCACAGAAAAAAATCTTCCAGGCTGCACTGCTTACATTGCACTGCTAGTAGTGCGACTATGGCTTGCTTTGGCATGCTACATCCGGCCTGCACTTCCTGACGTCTTGTAGCCAAGGCGGTGCGAATCTGCCGTGCAGCTTTGGCCTTCGACCGGATGTTTGCAAGGACATCAAGCTGCAAGTGCCCGTGCCTCTAGTGTGTTAGCTCCGCGTTACGAAGAGATGGTTTAAGGTGCTGGGCGTCGGGAAAGAGTTTCAGATAGCTCCGTCCTTGCTCTTGGTGACCAGGTAAGTCTGATGCTCGTGACCGTCCAGGTGAGCCTCGAAGAAAACTTAAACCTTGCGGCCTGCGGCAGCCCTCAACACGGCCACCGGTCAGGCCCCGCCACCCTGCTTCGGTGCATGGACAACCAAGGGACAATACGGTGCTCAAAGTCGTAGTCATGACCTCCCTCGTCTAACCACGTTCTCGCTGATTGACCTTACTTCTAGATCCAAGCGGTAAAGCTATAGAGAGCATCAATGAGAAGTGCTCATCAGGGATTCCTTGCCGAGCGGCTGATCTGAACTTTGCCGGGTACCCCAGTGCTCTCCATGAGGTTGGCGAACTCCACTGCCGGACCAAAAAGATGGTATCGGGGCCCTGCAGAAGGCATCAAGCTTCGACAATGTGGTGCTGGCATCTGACAGCCACGATGACATGTGTCAAGCAAGCATCGCCGCGGTCATCAATGTGTCTGTATGGAAACCTGGTATTGCAGTAGTCGTCGTCGTCGTAGTGGTAGTGGTACTGGTGGTCGTCGTCGTAGTAGTAGTAGTTGTTGTTGTAGTTGTAGTTGTAGTTGTTGTTGGTGTTGTAGTGGTTATAGTAGCAGTCGCCGTCGTAGCAGTCGTAGTCGTAGTCGTATGCTAGTAGTAGTAGTAGTAGTAGTAGTAGTGGTGGTAGTAGTGGTGGTAGTAGTAGTAGTAATAATAATAATAGTAGTAGTGGTAGTACATAGGAGTAGCAGCAGCAGCAGTAGCCGTATGATTGACCATTTGCGACGGTCCAGAACCACAACGCTTAGATCCCCGAGGGTTTTGCGACAGTCAATGTCAAAGCAAATCATGACAAATAAAAACACATAGCGACAATAAACAACAAGAAAACGCGAAAAAAAGGACAATAAGTTGTTAAACGCGGAAACTCCATGATGTACAGGATGAAGAAGACCTGGCACAGGGTGCTGTTCATCGGCTTCTGTGAGGTTTTGCGTTGTTGCATGCGCAGGGCGTTGCTTTTAGCGGAGGTCTATTCCGGACTTGTACCCTGCTTCTTCCGGACTCAGGCGTTCTTGACTCAAGGGGTATGGCGCAGACTGGTCTAACATTCTGCCACCATAGCAATGGAGAAGCACACGAATTGGCCTTCTCTGGCCGCCACGCTTCCAAAAACCTCGACCACCCTTCATCTTCTCCAATATTGCAAGAGCTTGGGCTAGCTCACCAGGGAGTGACTCATGAGACACCAGCAAACCATGGCAATCTGCCTTGCTTCTCGGATGTTTTCTGGTTTTGGAGCGGGCAAAGCCGCTGCTGAAGTTGCGGTCCTTCGATACCTTTTTGCTGCTTGCCTCCCCTTGCTGCCGTTCTTGCCCG